TTATTGCAGAGGTAGCTTTTTTCGTTTTTTCTTTCACTTTCTTGTACTGTAGCTGTCTAGTTTTACACTTGGAATCAGGCAACTACACTTAGAATTAAAGAGTATTATTACTAGTAATTTAGGAGGTTGCATTTCGTGGTAGTGCTAGCTACCTTTGGGATTTTTTAAACTTCAAGTATGAGGAAGAGATATTTTTAGCTTCTTATGCTACGTGAGGCGGTAGTAAAGAGAAGAGATTCTTTGTTAATACTTCCGTTCGTGGCGATCGTCAAAGAGAAGGTTATTTTTCTTCAGTTTTTTTGCTCACTGTTCATTCACTTAGAAAGCTTTTGTAGCTCGCGGTCTGCTAGCCAAAATTTCGCTTAAATCTGAATAATTTATTTTTTTTAATGGCATCGGAAATATATTTTAGGCAGCTTTTTGCAGCTTATTCTGAATAATACTCGTGGTATTTGAATGACTTTTTGGTTTGGATTTTAGTTACAGGTCTTGGAAGGTCTTTTTGAATTGATTTTACTGGAAGAATGGTTTGGATTTTAGTTACAGGTCTTGAAAGGTCTTTTTGAATTGATTTTACTGGAAGAAGTGCAATTGCTCACTTATGTAAAGCTCTTAATTTTTTGTTTTCATCTTAGTTTAGAACTTTGTCACAGAGGGATATGATTGGGCTACGTGTAATTCTTTCATTAAGATGCGTTGATTCTTTTTTTTTTTTCGACATTGGTTCAATGCTTCTGTTTCATCATGTTTCCTTACCATATAGTTTAACTATATCAGGTTGTGGGATTTTAGATATTTCTATATTTTTTTCAAGGTGGAATTGCTTTCTTAAAAAAAAGGAAGGAGAGCAAGTGAGAAAAAGCTGTTGTTGATTTGTCGCTGTTCTTCAGAATTAAATGTGAGGCTCTAAGCTTTTGTTTGCTGAAAATTTTCTGTTAGCTGTGGTTAAGATGGTAAGTCATTTTCAGATTCAATCTTTGTCTGTGTTCAGCGAGACATTTGACGTTTCCATAATTGAGTATGCTGCAAGTAAAGGTTGGTATTTACATTTATTTTTGCAAGTAAATTGGTTTAAAAAGTTTTTAGGTTTTATCAGTTTTACTTATCCTCACTTGACTATTCAAGAACAGTAATTGACTTGAAAATACAGCAAAATTTTTTGTAAAAATAACTTTTTATAAAACTTATGAATTACCAGCTATTGAATTTCAAATCATTGTTTAACAGACCTAAGAAGTTCTGAATTGCTTTCTTTTATTAAACGGTTAAAAATAAAGATTTTGCGGGAAGGAACTTCATTTTCCAAGTAAAATACTCAGGTAATAAGAAGATCATTAAAGTACTGGTTTTGCTTCGTGCATATTCTTTTTTTCTGCAGGTCGACTGCCACCTTTAAAAAGACGAGAAAAACGCACAATTTATGTGGCGACTTTCGAGAAAGCTAATATGTTAATTAATTGTTTAATTGAAAACGACCGTTTACAGGAAATTGGGCTTGTTATTGTGGATGAAGTATTTCTTGCTTTTTTTTGCTTTATTCTTGCAAAAAATTTAATATTGTGAAATTTATAAAGATTCATTTTTTATTAAATTAGAAACGAGTTTTTTGTGTGGTAGAGACGTTTTGCTGTGTTTTTTAAAGCACTGCTTATGAGCATTTTATCTTTTTACTTTTTCCTTGCTGTGGGGAAGGTAATTAATCGTCATTAGAAAAGATGTCTTGTTTATTAAATAATACATAAGATCGATTTTTGCCTTTCGTGGGAAATTACTTGTTAAGATTAAAGTAAATCTCTGCGGCCTGAGCAGCGTGGATGGTTTATGAAAAATAAGGGGTTTTTTTTACGGGAATGATTTCAGCTTCATATGCTCGGTGAAAGGGGACGTGGAGCAACTTTGGAACAAACATTGACAAAGTACCTTTTAAAAGGCTAGATTTCAAAGTTGACTTTTTGTTTTACAATTATTTTGTTATTAAAGCTTATTTTATCTAAAATTCTACGATTTACTCAGAGTTGAGTCAAAATTAAACTTTTAATGGATTTTAAGATCGACGTTTATGGTCTGACAATTCTTATTGTTTTTGATCTCTGAACTGTAAACTCTATGGTAATAAAGCATTACTAGATATTTGTTTTTTGGATTTTAGTGTTTTCTTTTTATTTGATGCTGAGTGTAAGACATCTTATTTCTACTTTAGGCGAAGGGCAAATTGTTGGTATTACTGCAACGCTTGCCAACAGTGATGAAGTAGCAAGTTTTTTGAACGCGTCGGTGTTTACCACGGATTTTCGTCCGGTAGTTATACTTGCTACTGTTTCCCGGTTGACCGTTTCAAATATGTGATCTTGATCTTTGTGCTTGCCATTTTATAGGGGTTCTATTTTTCTGTTGATATTCTGGATTGGTTTAAAAATTTGTTATAGAATTCTATTGTTTGCAGGTTAAACTCGTCGAGAGGGTGAAGATAGGGAATATTCTGTACACCATAAACTCTGATGGGAATTTGGAGTTTGAACGAGAACTGGAGCAAAACGTAATCCTTATAACATTTTTCCTATCTGCTTTATACAGATCTATTTGAACTTTTATAGAAACTTGCTAAAAAAGATCCAGATGGCTTGGTTCCGCTGCTACAGGACCTTATTCCTAGGAAATCGGTAATTATATTTTGCCCCACAAAACTTGGATGTGAAAATATTTGTAAATCGATTGTTCGTATTGCTCCAAAGTAAGATTTAAAAGTAGGCTAAGCAGGAATAATTTTTAATTCCAGAAGTTGTTTGAGGATCTGGAGAATGTAATTAATCTGTTTTTACAGGTCTTTACGTCATCAAAAAACTGAAGTTCGTAAAGCACTAGTTAATAGTTTAAAACAAGATGATGATGGACATGTCTATCCTTATTTGGAGACAGGATTAATGTCTGGCGTAGGTTTCCATCACAGTGGTCTAACTTCAGAGGAAAGAGAAGTAGTGGAAAACGCCTTTCAAGTACATTTTTTCTTGGTTAATGATTATAGAATATCTTTCAAGAATTGATTTAAATTTTTTAATATTTTTTTGAAATCGTTTGCGCTATATTTCAGCATTTGAGAAGCTTTCCCCAAAACTAGTAACAGTAATGTGCAAGTTTTGAAACAATTTTTTTTAGCGTTGAGGAGTGATTCGCAGTTGTTCATTTATATTTTCCGTTGAGAAAATAGTTATTTTATTTGTTTGAACAGGTTGGGGCAGTAAGCATACTTTGTTCGACCTCAACTTTAGCCGCGGGTGTTAATTTACCTGCGCGGCGTGTTATTATAAAGGCGCCGTATGTTGGCCGTGAGCTGTTGAAAAAATCTCAGTATCTGCAGATGGTTGGTCGGGCTGGTAGGGCAGGTTACGATGAAATAGGTGATGCAGTTACGATAGTTCGTTCAGGAATTGAAGAAATGAAGGTTATTGATAGCTTTCAAGCTAAGTTGACTCTGAACGTTTTTTTCTGTTCAGTGTTTGAAGTTTCTTTGTTTTGCTAGAGGAATTGATAGTTCATTTTCAGTTTAAAAAAATGGTAGCAGCTCCTTTAGAGGAATGTCGGAGTGCACTTGGAAACGAGGAGTCGTTATCGTGCTTTCTACTAGACTTAATTTCTTTGAAGGTTATGGAGCTTTAACTTGCTTAAATAACTGAATGTCAATTAAAAACAGGTTGTTATTTAGATACTGAAGCAACCACAAGACTTTTCGGCAGTTGCGCAGGCAACATTATTTGGGATACAAAACAGAAACTTTATGAAAATGGTTGAAAAGTGTTTGGTTAAGTTATGTGATGATCAACTAATTTATGTTCGCAGCGTAGGTATATTTGACTCATAAGTCATATGGAAATATACTTTTACTTATAGTAAAGACTGAACATTTGTAAAGCCGCATGCTTTTTGTCGACTTTCGTTTTCATAAAGTATTATTTTAGTAACATATTTTATGCTAAATTTTGCTATAGGAGGGTGGCTTTGATGTGACACCCTTAGGCAAGGCAACTTTTGCGTCCAGTATACTCCCTCTTGAAGCCAAATCACTTAATTCGTTGCTGGTCAAGAATTTGAACAAGGTTTTATCTTCGTACCTTTTAAAATTTGATTGGCATATTTCAGCTTACTACTTTAAAGAAATAATTCATATTCAATAAAATTTTTCAGGTCGTTGCATTAGGTTCAAATTAGTTTTATTAATTTTTTCTCTTCTAGCCTAAATATTTCTGTTTCCGCTGTAAAATTTGGGTTGAAAATATATTTCTTTTGTTATGAAGTTGACCGTATTTAAGTTTAAAAGTAAACATTCGTTTGAAAAACAAAAGATTGCTTTCAGTATTTGGTTAATTCTTTTTAAGGGCATTGTGTTTTCATCGCACTTCCATTTGATCTTCATCATAATACCTCTTGATACCTTCACTGTGATTGACTGGAATATTTTTTACGAAGAGGTACTTTTGATGTCTTTTACCGAGTCTGAATAATTTTTTATTTATTATATTGGCGACTCGCTTAAAGTTATTTGAAAATGCTAATTGGGGAAAGTACTGCATCTCAAAAATAGAAGAAATTGCCTATACATCAGAGTTTATGAACAGCTGCTGATGATAAGAGTGAGAATTTCATTTTAAATTTGATGTGTTTTTGTTTTATAGTACCTGATATTATCGAAGGAAGAACAAGAACTTTTGGCTTCGTTTGGTTTAAGTGAAAAATGGATCATCAAATGTATAGTTGAAAATGCGACAGTGGTAGGTTTGTGTTATTGGTACTTAAATTTTTTTTGCGCCATCGTCTCTATAATGACTTTCTGCTTACTACTGAGGGAAAGTTCATTATTTCTTAGAAGGAAGGAGACGTTGCTGTACGAGTCTATGCAGCCTTTATGATGCAGCGGATTTGGAAACAGGAGTCTTTTTGGAGCGTCAGTCAGCGTTTCTCTGTTACTCGAGGGTGGTTGCAATCAACATTGCAATCAATTTGTTCTCAAGCGTCTTCGATTGCTCGGTTTGCTGAGGTACCACATGGAGTAAAGTGCTATAGCTGTTTTTTTTTTAATTTTCAAAGTTTCTAGACAATTCCTTCTTTGTGGGCCTTAAAACTTCTTCTCCCAGAACTCGTTTGTAAGCTTCGTGAATGCAAAGAACAGGAATTGATTCCTCTTTTAGCCATTGACTATGTGAAAAGAGGTCGCGCTCGACAGTTATATGAAAAAGGTGAGGGACCGTTGCATAGAATTAGTCTCTATCCGCTTTGTAATGATGTCTTCATCGACATTTCTAGTAAAATGTCGGTAGTTTTTGTTGTTCAGTTCTACTTTTTGTTCTTTGGTAACAAAACATTGATTTTTTTTAAAATTAACTGGAGATTATACAAAGCCATCTGTGGAATATGATATTGAACCCTGCCATTGGCTTCTGCTTACGACCCTTTGTCACCTGAGATCTGTTATTTTCTGTCTAGTCAAGAGGCAAACAGCTTTAAATATGCTATCTTGTCCAACTTTCCAACTTCTTCTATTTAACAGGGTATAGAACAGTTGGCGCAGTAGCGAGTGCTGATCCTGTTGTTCTGGTGCAGTCTATTCAGAATCTTAGCAGCCGACACGCTTCAATCATCGTTCGTAGCGCTCAGGTTTTTTTCTAAATAATAAATGCAGCATGGTTTGGGTAAAAGAACTTAAGTTATTAAAGGCGAAGTTGAGAATTAAATGTGGAAAGCACTAGCTGATTATTAGCTCTGCAGTGCCATCAGCACTTTATTACAGTTTCCAAAGTAGCAGACTTTCAAAATATTGTAACGTTCCTTGTAGTATTTTTCAGTTGTCAGAACTGTCATTAATTATAAAAAAGAAATTTGCTTTGTACTAATAGCTTTAACGAAGCTTAAAATACATGGTCTCAGATGGAAATGATAAGAATTTTCTTTTCAAAAAGACTAGATTGTTTTGGAATTGTGACTGCAGAGGCTCTACAGCACAAAAAGAAAATTATTTTAGTAGATAGCGTAATGGACATTTTCCAAGTTTATTTAAAAAAAACAGTGCATTAAAAGCCACCACTTTCTCAGCAATCTGTTAGGGAAACAAACGGTAGTTTTTAAAGAACATGAAATAAATTTAGTTTTGAAAAATAGAAAACTAGGTAGAATGCAGCAACTTATGCATTAGTAAGCCTTATTTTAAAGAAAACTATGACGGGCAGTAAATTTTAAATGAAGTGAGTAGGTATTCGCGCTCTTTATTTTATCCATTTGCTGATTTTTTTGGGTGTATATTTTTGAAACTTTAGTAAGGCTTTTTCACATCCTAATTAAAAGTTTTTGAGGCAAAATTCTGAGAATTTATTTTAGTATGCATATTACAGACGATTATTCGAGACCAAATTGCTCAGAAAATGGAAGAAATGGAAATGCTAGGTGCATCTTCAAGAAATGTTATAGAAGCGTTGAATGGACAGTAAAAGTTTATGTTCATGGTTTGCCTTATTTTTACTGTATTTCATTAATCATTTGCTCCTGTGATAATTACTTAATACCGTTGTTGCTGTTAAAATGCTCTGTTCATTTTGTAGTTTATGCTTTGTTTTTTTTATTATTCAAAGTTTTCTTTTAGTGATCTGATGATAGTTTTGACATATTTACCAGAAAGTTTTCTTTCATTTTTTCTACTTTTTCGTGCCTCTGTATTGCTAAAGGTAGCCACTTAACCCTTCCCATGTTTTCTGGTCTTGTTATCTTGTTTTCCCAAGTGGCTGTTGGCAAAAGTGGCTTGGAATATATTTAAAGTCGCAAAATCAGCTTAGTTTTATGTCACAGTTTTCGTTGGTGACTTTGAGAGACGTTTTGTTTTTTTGTTATAGTCGTTGCGGGACTTTTATAATCGCTGTCTCCTGCACCATGATTTTTCGTGAGCTTAACTCCTAGTGAATCTTAACGAGTAGTTTCATTTAAACAGAAGTGCGTGAGTTACCAGTAGAAAATTATTTCAGTCTGAGATGACAGATTAAATGGGAGTTTTTTAAATATCGTCTAATATTTTTTTCAAAAATCAAACGTTATTTAGCTGTGAACTTGATGAAAAGTACAGTGGAGAAAATGATTTCGATGAGGTAGGAATAGTTATAAATGTTGGCCAGGTTGAATAAGTTTTGCAAAATAAATTAGCATAAATGAAATATAAGTATTCTAAGATTTAACAGAGTTCTTGATGTGTGAAAATAACTTATTCTAGTTGCTGTTTGTTGACAATTTTAAGATCAAGATTTCGATCTTTCATTTGATTGCGCAACTTATGAATTAAAGATTATATACTAAAATTGAACATTGGTCAATACTTTGTACCTCTGTAATTGTAGTTTAATTTACGTCTTAAAATTAACTGTCTGAAGAACAAGTCGTTTGTGACAAGTAAGACACTTTTTCAACAAAACTGTGTCGGCTTAAAAGGCCTGTGGCAAAAGTGATATACAAATTTATCACTGAAATTCCGCTGAATTGCTGAATCTTGAGGACCGACTTATGAGAAGCAGGAAGTCTGCTAAGGAACTTGTTGGAATTTTCTATTAACACCAACCGTTGTCTCAGGTCCGGTCTGGGGTTTATTTTAAAAACCGGTGCTGAAAAGCCTGTTACACTTGGTCATCCTGCGTTTGGCGAATTTTTAAAAACTTTGTCAAAGGTTCACCTTTTATTACTCTGCTTTTGTAAGTACTATTCTTAAACGCAGAATTACTCTGCTTAAGCACCTAATCCGGAGCTTTGAGTTGAGCCGCACTGACGATTACTGATGTAACATTTGGTGAACTGAAAAAAACTAGGGATATATGCATGACTACTAAAAGTTTACTTGGTCTCTATTTTATTGAACTCAGCGACAAAGTTTTGCTGATTTATAAAAATGATGTACATCTTCAGGTGCATCAAGCATTATTGTCACAATGAGCCTAAATAAGTCTTCAGACTAAAAGCGTCAGCAGCAATAAACTATTGGAAGAACATGAAGAAAATTAGTCTTGTAAGGAAAAAATTACGGCCATTTCTTGATGTTTTAGCAAAAAAAAAAAACAGTCTGATAATAGAGAACTAATTTGCCGTAAAATTTAAAACAAATTTATAGCTACTTTTGTGTAAAATTTTCTCCTGTCTCCACCTCTTCAGTCTTTCAGCTATTTGTCGGGACGATTTCTATAGTGTAAAAGGTACATGGGCCAGCATTTTTTTTAAAATGTTTTTTGCCAGAGTGTCTGAAGGAAGAAGTGCTAATTTTTTAGAGGATGAAGGAGGGGAGAATTAGAGGACAAGAAGAACCCAAAAAAGTGAAACTTTTAATGTGTTTCTATTTGTGTTTTATTTTAGGATAAGTTTTGCAAAAGGCAATTTGGAGTGTCATTTGAAAAAAATTTAAAAAACATTTGTTATAAATGAATATTTGA